ATTATTCAACAACCTTTACATGCACTTAAAGCAACATGAACGAGATGAGATGAGAGAGGCCATTTTTGATTGCTTTTTGGTAATTTTAGTGGCGCCACAAATATCGAAAAAGGCAAAACTGGGCTTTACAAATAGGATTTGAAAAGACGTGGTTGGCTTGATTGTGGCATACAGAAATCGTATCTATTTGTTTCATGTCTGATTAAACTCAAAGTGAGACTCAAAAAACCAAGCTTTATAGTCGAAATACAGAAAGTAACTTTTTTCCAGACTAAATACGGAATAAGGAAATAGGAAACTGGTATTTTGTATTTTGATTTTGATTTCATAACAACAAAAACGACAACCGACGACTTCATGCTTTTGGCTTTCCTCGGCCAATACTAACCTCTATTACTACTAAAAATCGCCTAGTGAATACTTAACTGGCAACAAATACTTTGAAAAAATTCTCTAGGAACGTGAAATGTACATTTAAAATCCAAAAGCTGATTAAAAATATTCTGTTTTTAGCTTGCTCATTCTTGTAACAGATTTTGTGTTGATTGTTTCGGAAGCAACACATGCGACACCGGTATTTTTAATGTTTGACAAAAATTGTACTTAGTGGCAAAAACATGTATTTTTTGGGTGAAATTTTAAGCTAAAAGTTGTGGTGGTGACGCTATTAATACCCAAGAACGCATTGACAAAAAGCGTTCAAATACTACTAATTTGGTTGAAGATTTAAGGTCGTCAGTAACAAGCTCTAGCATCTAGCATGCATATAGTCCTAAGATCTCTTGACAAAAAGTTGGCGCGACTGCGGCGATCGTTCTTTTGATGTTCAATGGTTCACGGTTTTATTATACAGTGTCATTCAAATAAAATACAACTTTGCATAAAATATACACTTATTATTATCCAACTAATTGTCCCATATGAAAGCTTTTTGTTTTCGCTTTAAACTTTTTTTTTGACTAAATAAGCAACCCCTTTTGATAACTTAAGTAAAAATTCGACACGCACGGCGCTTATCTATTCGTGCTTAAACAAATCATAAATCAACATCTTGCTTTG